TTCCTTCTTTAAAGTTGTCTTTTTCTTTTTGAAATTTAATCTTGCTTTTATCAGGAGTACATAATCCTGATTCGAAGTTGAACTGAGCTAGTTAAAGTGACCAAAATCCTGTTTCTGGCTAGAACTTCCAAAATAAATACTTCTGAATTTAGAATTCCACTATCTGTACACAAACAACAGCTGGGAAATGCACAGCTGTATCTAGAAAGGACACCAATTAAATGTCTCCAGCTATAGGATCAAAAATTTCAACTCGCATCTCAGCTATAATATAAACAGTTTTCCAATTCAGAGATTGAACCTTACCATTCATAGCAGACTGAGAAAGACAACACACGTACCTGAGTGCTTGCACACCCCCCCCCACTCCCATATAAAATACATGCATAAATGACACTTACTAGATCAGCTGATGTACGCCTGATCAATGGCAATCAAATAATAAAAAACAGGAGCTGGGGTTAGTTCTTACTAAACCAAAAATCCCAACCAAACAATACCAGAGGGACTCAAATAAATAAGGGAGTAGAGAAACCTTTGGTGCAGAGGGAAATGTAACAACCAAAACAAGGGAGCCTGAGTACTGCGAGGGGGTTCTGCCACTTCTCAAGGGTGGCATTAGGCATGAATTCCCCCATTAACATTGACAGCTGCCTGAAAAAGACAAGAGTTCGAGCTTTAATAGCATTGTACACCTGCAACGTTTTCAAATCTTTTAGACACACATATTTCCAGGTAGGAAAGCCCAGGCAAACCAGCATGTGGTATTTATACCGGAGGAGGCAGTTAGGAGTATCCTTGTGAAACAGGGTTGCTAGACCACACCCACTTCCATACTTCTCTTGCTGTGGTTTCACCACCAGCTTGGGAACAAACTCCACTAGAAGTACCATACTTTCTACTTCCTTCCACCTACTGCCATCCACCAGGACAAGACAAAGCCACATTGCTCTCGAATCAGAGACCGGTGCAAATGATGAGCATTCCCTCCCTTTTTTCATACTATTTAGCTGCTACAAAGTCAGAGGCGTCCTCAACATGGCAAGTACTGCAGAGTGTTTATAGAGGGGCAGCTGGATTACAGCAATCATCCGAAAAGGGGAAGAGAACATCTTGAGATGAGTGCAAGCCTGCCAATGCCAAGACATTTGCTGTTGCCTTTTCAGCAGATCAGCTGATGATACAGCAGTTCTAACAGCTGACTGCTCCTTTAACAAATATGCTCACGAGTGCAGCATGTAAATACAACAGTTGTCTCCAGTACTCACCAGCAGCCTCCAGCAGCAATGAAACTCTCACATGGAGACCAAGGACCACTTACAGTCTTCAAGGTGCTCCCCTTGGGCTCTCCAGGTGCTTGAGGTTACAGCTGTATTCCCCAAATTTACAGTGACTACCAACCAATGCTATTCTGAGAGTTGCATATACATCTGGGATCCAAATAACATCACTAAATCAATTCCCTAATTATAGAGGCTAAACAAAAAATAATTTAATGACCTTGTTACATTATCGTATTAAAAAGAAGACAGACTTTCCCAACAGGAATGAAAGCTATTTTAATAAATCAGTCTGCCCCTTCTCCCAACAGAAGCTGCCCTTGCAGGTTGCCAATGGGCTAATGACAGCCACTGTCCTTGCACCTCCTCTGGGGAAGCTGCTGTCAAAACTGAGCAACACAGAGGTGAAGGTGTATGGAGATCGTGGGTGGGATGGATGGGATATGGACGAGCCCTCTTGGCTGACATCCCCAAGCCCCAAGTCATCTCATTAGATGAAGCAGATGCCAACCTACTGCCTGTGTAAACTGCCCCTGAAGGAAAGGGTAGAGCAGATCCTTCCCTATCCCGCTCCACTCATCCTGCTGCTTACTGAGCCAATGATGGTTACACTGTTCACATGCACAGTTACAGTCATTTAATTTCCCACATGACTTTTGGGCCAAAAACCATTCCTGGAAGGGAAGGCACTACTGTTCTGACTTGGAAGCAAAGAATCAGAATAGAGACAAAGCGAGGTAATGTTTTTCTGGTCCTACTCGGACCCAGCTTTCAAATTTTAGACAACACTGCCATTAAAAAATGAGAACTCATTTTGTAGCTCCCCCCAGACTCACAGAAATTATGACTCTCTGATTTTAAATTAACTGTGATTCTAACTTAAATGTGACAGTAGAAAGAGAAGTGTTGAAGAAAACAGATCAATTAAATGTTGATTTTTAAAAGGAAGAAGAGTGAAAGGATTGGATAGAATCTGAACATGTAGGAAGAAGTATTGAAAAGAGGGAAAGGTCATTTAGCAAGTAATCACTGAGATCGAGGGCTAATGAGATGTTTTGCCTGGGCCATTTCTAACCAGGAGTGATCCACAGGTGGCTGCTCCCTTCATTACAGATGCCAAATCTTGTCCTATAATTACAGGAGCAAAGAATTTTCTAGAAATTGATAAAGTGCAGCACATGAGAACAAACGGAGAACAATAACATGCAGGGATGGGAGACAGCAGCACATAGAACAATTTTCTCTGGGTTGAGAAAGTGATCTGGGTGGACAGGCACAGCCACAGACCCCATACTTTGCTGACCGTTGCCTTATATGTGCTCTACATGTGGCACTTGGCACTGTGTTTGGATGCAAAGAGAGTATGCCATGCACTGTGTATTTACAGCTTGAGAGGAGAGTGACTAGAGCTAATGAACAATACCAATATATATTTCATAACCATTGTATCAGAAAAAGCATACTGTAATGCTTTCAAATAATTTTTAAAAGTGCACAAGAGATTGTGATAGATATGCACTGCTGGTGTTATGCAAAGGGTAAGAGGAAGGACGGGGAGCAGGAGGCCCTTGGCTGCAGCATGGCTCTGTTTTTGTGCTGACTGGTAGCAGCAGAGCAGGGTAGCTCACTGCTGCTTTGCTCCTTACAGATGCCTCCAGGACAAGGAGGGCACTCTCTGAATTGTGGTTCAGTGTGAAAGCAAAGACCACTGTCATGCTCAGTATCAGCTTAACCACCACCCAAAGCACAGGGAGGGCTTTTAAGGAAGAGAGACTCTCCTAGCTGCAGGCACATTTAAGGGGGTCATAAATTGGATTCCTGCATAGCTCTGCGACTCAGAGCTGCAGTACTGACATGGTATCCAAGTAATGCCTATCAGTCGCTTCCTCATCTCAACAGCAGCTGTGTTTTCTGCAAGAGGAATGGTAGCTAAAAATAATCTGGCTTTGACTTCCTCTTTCAAACCCTCCAGTCTCTTTTAAAAAGATTTTTTTGTTCTCCCAAAAACAGTAAGGAGAATATAAGAGACAAAACCAGAACGGTGACCTGCACAAAGGGAACAGCAGCATTAGAAAGCTCGGAGAACCGCAGGAAACTACAATAAAGATCAGGAATAGCAAAAAATGGTCACAATTTTGAGCAACATCCTGCAAATTCCCTTTGGCACTCGCAGCAAGCTTTCTGTTACTCCTTTACTTGTGTGACTCAGTGGTGCTGAGGAAAAGGGGAATACAATCTGGATGTTTCTGAATGCAATTCATTTGCTCATTAAAACATATTAAAAGAAAGAACTGTGCTCAGTAATCATCAAATGCACTCTCATGTCTGCACAGAAGAGATTTTTACTCCCTCATAGAATAAATATGTTTTACTTTCAATTCTGTGTCATCCATAGATCCACAAAATATGTCAATCCCACACCAAACATGCAAATGGAGAGGAAGAGAATATTCAATTAATCCTTCAGTAACACAGCACTATGTATTCTCATCCAAAAACAATTCTACAAATACAGGGCTGGTAGGCATGTCCACACTGCTGCATGCAGCTTTTCATAATCCTTTTTATAAACAGACCTAATTCTATATTAAAATTGTGTATTTTCATACATAATTTTTCAATTGCAGCCCACAATTAGCCTGATACAGACTATACCTCAAAACTCCCCAAGGTAGCAATGATGATCTCTATTTGAATCTAGTCTTGTAGAAGATGCCCACTCCCAGTAGGTACCTCTGGACACTACCAACTATAACAAAATCATAAGCAGAATTCAGACTGTGACTTACAAACCTGCTGCTAACAGACTAATACCTGAAGTAAGAACAGTATAAGGGACAGAAAAAGAAATGGTGAATACATCTCCATCCTACTGTCTCAAATTCCAAATAAATATACTGTACAGTGTAAAGGGTTGAAGGTATACAAGAAAGCATGCCACTGTATACAGTTTATGTATTATAGCATATACCATGAGCTTTACCTATGGCATAGCCATTAACATGGCCTTCTCCCTTCTCAAATCTCAACACCAGAAACCATAAACAGCTCTCTGAGTGCTGTAGCATGAACAGCCACCTCGCCCTTGGCCAAGTCAGAGTGAAGACAGGGCCACCACCTAAGCAGGGGATTATGGGAGCTCCTCCTTCCTCTCCCTGAATCCTTTCCCCACTTGGCAGAAAGCAGCACTCTTCTCCCTTCTGAGCTGCACCCCCTCACCATTTCCTCCCACATCATTTCCACTGTCACCACACTCTCATGCTTATTTCCTACTTCCTGGTTTCTTTGCTCAGCCCCACCGATGCAACCCCACACCCCAGTTCCAGGGGTTATCACAAAGCTCTCTGGGCCAGAGATGATGGTGAGCCCAGACAGGGCTTGGCACCATCCATGGGCTGTCTCCCAGAGCTTTGGGGGGAAATCAAATCACCTGTGTACCAAGGCTAGCACAGCAGCTCTGCAGCTCTGACAGGGGGAAGGGAAGCACAGGTGCTACCAGTGAACTGGGATCAGGGCTCCTCCTTCGGCACTATGGAACACCAGATAAGAAAAAGCAAAAATAATTAAATCTTTAAGTATCATGGTAGGTGATGTTAAAAGTAATCACAAGAACATAGAATATTAAGTAGATTTTGGTACCTTTTTAATAGGAAAATGGAGAAAAACAGGAGCTCCAATAAACCACAACAAAGAAAGAGAGAAAGTAAAAGATCTGTAAAGTAAACTGAATCCAAACATAAGCAATGTTTTATTGGGATATAGCAAGCAACCTATCAAATAGGGAACTGGTACAAACAGATTGAACAAGACTCTCTTTTAACAGAGATGTATGGTGATGAGACAGCTTCTTTCAGTTCTTAAAACAAGTATTCTAACTGTTAAGTAAAGCATTAAAAAAACCCCAATCATTACAACACCAAAGACAGACAGTATTAAAAATGTGCAGAATTTTACTTTTTACAAATTTCTGCATAATGTTAGAAAACAATCATAAATTAAAAAAGGAATAAAATTAAGCTTTTTTTGTTGTTGTTTGCAAAGGAACACAAACTTTTAAAAACCAACTATATTTTACATTGGACTACTATTAAAAACAGGTGAAAACAAGTTGAAAATTTAAAGAACAGCAAAAAATACACAACCCAGTTTCACCTGTCAGCAACACCTTCTGCTATCGAAGGAGTTATGTTAGTTGTATGTACAGCTTTAAACATTGCAGCATACCACGAGTAAACCTTAATAAGGTCAAAATAGGACCCTCTGCAAAAAAGGGTGACTTGGCAAGTGTCAGTCCCATCCTAAAATTAAAAGTAGGAATAATTTTAATAGGTCTTCAGTGTAAACCAAAACCTACTTTAACTGGTTTCTCTCTCCTAAAGATGCCTGTAAACTTTATTTGGGGTTGGTTTTATTTTTTTTTTTTTGTATTTCAATTAATGAAATCAAGAACTGGCTCAAAAATGAGAATGACATACCTCCCTTTTGTTCTGGATACAGTGATGTAGCTATCTCAACATGCTGACTGACACTTCCTAAAAGAGAAAATCATTATGTACTATGTAAAAAACACACACCACCTCTCTCAGTTCAGACTCAGTATATAGAATATTGCCAACTCTATCCAATAGGATATATATATATTGTAATTTGGTTTAAACTCTTAATAGATATATTCCCTCTTTACAAAGTTCCATCACATGAAACCAAATTGCTTATTTTTCCTTTGAGGTACAACATGACCCCAATGAGACAATTTGCTACAAAGAGTTGTTCTTTAGATGTTGTGTCTGTAGAGGTTTTACGTGATATTCATAGATTTTCAGCGCAGGCCCCAGTTTTAATGAAAGTCCAGTCAGTACATCATTTCTTGTCATCAACAGTAATGATTTGCCATCAATTTCCTATAAGAAGAATTAAAGAGTTGATAAAGACAAATGTACACATCTAACAGATGAGAATAGTCATGCAACAAAAGACTACTACAGAGAATCAGTCAGAAAAGAAATAGCAGCCTTTATTTTCCTGAAGCCATGTTTATAGCTGCTAAATTCTGGTGTCTGCTTTCCAAGTGGCTCACCTGTGCTGACTAAGGTATAAATACTATTTAGTCAAGCAAAAAATTCAAATGAGCCTAATTTCAAAATTCCCTCCTTGTAAACCTCTTTCAAATTAATAGGTACAAGTGCAGATTGTCTAATTATCAGCCATCAAGGGAAGGATACCCTTAAGAAGGCAGCTTACGAAGTGCATTTCAGAATTACTATTGACAGCAACATGCAAGTTTAGACTCATCAGTATCTGCTAATAACTTCAGGTGCCTTCTTTAAAAGGCCAACCTTCCCATGCATCCTGTGGGGGAAAACAAAGAGAAGACTCTTGCAATCAGAAATTTCAGAAGGGCCTAACTGGAGCTTGACACTCTGAGGTAACTTATCTTCCTCCACTTACAAGGGAGGAGGAGAAAAGTGGCAACTTGCCAGCCGAGGTCTCAACAACCCGTACACTTTCCTGCTTAAATATAATTTGTAAATCCGAGATATGGTGGCACTTTTTTCTCTCAGACCTTGACCTTCTGACCTGTTTAGGTTAGAAATCCTGTAGGCTTTGGAGCTTTTTTCCATCTCAAAACCTTGTCATATGTTTGAAAACTACCTCTAAATGACTTTTCAAAGGTCAAAATGGAAATGAAGAATCCACATCTCTCAACTCCCTCCTCCATTTTAGACATGGGATCATCCTTTTCGTCACACATTCCTACAGTTCAGTGACACTGCACTACTCCAGAAACAGGAGTTACAGCTACACAACAATGCATTGATTGGTCTGGCTCATAAGACAGCCAGACCTCCAAAGGGCATCACAGCCCAAAGAAGTATACAGCCTTATCTGGCATTCTCCTGCACTGGACTTCACTCTGCTGTTGCATTCTTTTTTTACTTTTAATTAAGGAAACTCCCACTGTTAAGTGTTGAATTTGTTATCAATAGCCAACAATGAATTCAAATGCTGGCATATTGTTGTTGTCCTCTAATATACTGCCAAAATTTAGTATTTTTGTAAGTATTATAAATGTCACACATGAATTTATCAAACTGCAGCATGTTCCTTAGGAATATTAAATGTTGTCTTGGAAATGTTAGAGATCCCATTCTTGATTATAAGTCAACATGAAAAGAGGAAGATATATATTACAGTTCAGCATGAATTTGTCCAGACTGATCTCTCTTACAATTCGATAAAGTTTATAAATACAAAATACATGGACAAACCACAATATAGTCAAAGATCAACTGAAAGTGGAATTTCTTTAAAATACCCCCAGGATACATAAGACTGTTAATCCCTCAGAGGAGCACAAAGTAACAGTATGTCTAAAAGAAAAAAAGTTTCCAATAACTTTTTACCCAATTAGAGCAGGTCTCTTTCCAATTACTGTTGAGAATGTTAATGGTTAAAACCAGTTTCTATCCTCTCTTTTCCATTCGTCACAATTCTTTCTCTGGGAATTTTGACACCAGTGAGTATTTTGCTCATTGCTATGACCGATCTGAAGGTGCTTTTCTGCTGCTGTTCAACGATGCTATGGAGGAAGAACAGCCTCCAGCTTGGTAGGATCCCAATGAAGTAAATCCAGTACCTGGAACAGGAGAAACTCCAAGAACAGGAAAAAAGCATCTATTCCTTCCCCTTCTTCTTCTACAGGGTTCCCTGTGATTTCTAGAAGTGCTGGTAACTACTAAAGCTTTCATTGAATAGAAAACTGATTCTTTAACATCTGTGTAGAAATGAGTGATTATGTATTCAGAGTTCAAGCATTTTATATCTTTGTGTGTATTGTAAGCTTTACCTCTTCCACTTCCTTTAAGTTTCCACATAAACATGCTTCTGCACAATTGTCACAGTTACTCCATTTTTTGGCACCAGGTAAGATTCTGTATGCTTTAGTGACTTCTCTGATTTCTTCTCTGCTACTTGTCTATTTTCTGTATTTTTTGGGGGGGATGCAACTTCAATGCCAGCTTTCAGTATGCTTTTTTTTTATGTTACCTGCAGAGAGCCACCTCTGCACAACTAGAGCCAACAGTAATTTCCCACTGTGCCTGGACGATCTCAACAGCAGTTGAATATTGTCTTCAGCAAATAACCAGAGGACTGGTTAAGCTTCAAGTCCTCCCACCACTCCTTCTGCCCTTTCTGAGAACTGCAAGGTTTTACAGCACAGGCCACATGAAAGCATGGCAGCCAGCATGTTCCCACACTCCTCTGTGCCGTGGCTCTGCCAGAAAGCAACAGTGGACACCAGCTGGTATCAAACCCCAGATTCCCTTCGGGTAAGGGATTGCAGCGAGGCCAGGAAACCAGCACTGGGCTTATCTGGCTATCGCAGGACTAATGGGTAAGAAGCCACATGGGCAATAACAAAGGTCACAGCACTAGCATGTCTTGAGACTTTCAAACAGCTTCAGTCTTGGAGGGAGCTACAGCCCCCTCTGCTCCCAGGGCTCCTAGAGAAAGCCCAGCCACATGCTGGCAGGCAGCATTTCTTTGAAAGTGTTCACACCTTCACCCTGCATCTGGTATTCCTCCCTCTTTAGGTATCCTCAACTTCTTGGCTTGTCTGATTTGCTTGCTGATGTTATGTTTTTTTATTACTGGGCAGCATCTTTGAGTTGAATGTGTTTTCATCAGTGAGCTCTTTTGATTTGCTGACATCAGTGGAACTCCAAGAAGGAATAAGGTATAATCATCATACAACCATCACTTCTTACCAGCACTTACAATACGGTTTTAATAAAACATTCTGCAGCTCTTAAAATGTCTTCTCATAGTCCTTAAAATATTCTAAGACAAATTCAGGTCTTAAAAATTTTTTGAGTCACTTGTTTTAGGCAAGTCCAGATGTATTCAGATTCATCAAAAGAAAGCTGGACTCTGCTACTGTTGTGTAAAACCTGAACATAATAACAGATTACATTCTGGGCTATGGATGTTTTGTAAGGAAACCATTGTGCTACCCCTACCAAAGCAGTTCAGTGGTAAATAATTTCCCAGTGTTGTAGGTGACACTGAATACTTTCCTTTACCACTTACAACCTCATTCTTTTCCCAGTACATATTCAGGGCAGTAGCAGATCTGGTTTCTAGGGGCCCAAGCAAACTGCAAATGGCAGAGGAAAACAGAGATGGCCAAAACTTAGGCTGCATGACTGGTGCTCCATAGACAGAGCATGGCTGGGATTCAAACTGAACCTGTCTGCACTGCCATACCTGGAAGATCCTGATAACAGATACCATAAGAAGACAGAGTTAAAGTTAGTGGCTAGTAAATAGTGTAGAAGAAACTGAACACCACCATGGTAAGAGGTTAGGGATAGGGTTATTTATGGGGCTGTTTCTGATCCAGACAAGGAACAGGGTGGCAGAGCTGCTATACAGAACCAGGTACTTGCTGCTCCTTGTGCTACTAATGGAAAGGAGGGGCAAAGAAGTGGTAGTGACTTCTGCAGTGACTGGCCATCCCACAGCTCCTAGCCACATCCTGGTGGCAGCTGTCCGCCTCCCTCTCCAAGGCTTTAGCATAAAGTGACACTGGCAGTGGAATCACAGCCACATTTCTGCGCATGCCTATCCTAGCAGAGTCCTCAGTTATCCTACTGAAGCCACTTGCCCTCACTGCAGAATACTAGTAAAACCTTTACACTCCACTTCCCCGCTGTTTTCCATAAGGTTGTTGCAAATTGCTTTGCCAAAACTCGTGAGTCAGCCTCACCTTGCTGCTGAAAGAGCAGTAGTAATTACTGCAGTATTATTGACAAGCCAGCTGAGGTGCAGAGAGGTTAAGATATTTGACGAAAGTCAGAAGTATCTGTCAGTACAAGATAAAACCTCCCAGAGGCCACAATTACTTTGTCTGTGTGGGTTTTTAAGCCACATTTCCAGAGCTGTTGAGGAGACATGGATGCTGGTATTAAGGAATGGACACACTCAAACATTTTCTTTTTTGGTCTGTTTACCCATCTTCAAATTCTGAAAAATGAGTAGCAGCTGGAGAAAGAACCTTCATCTGCAACTTGCCAGAGAATCACCCAATGGCAGGCTTTTCAACCCCAAGAATAAAGATACAAAAGATACTTCATTATATTCATCAGTTACAATCAGATGGGATTTCACAGACATGGTGCTGAAGGCCAGCAACATTAACCTGATCAACAATGTTATTTCATATGAGATACACAGTGTCCCTGCAAAGCCACCAATAACTTGCACTAGCCCACTGCCTTGGAAGGTCAAGATATCTGTTTTGATAACTAAGTACAAATGTTGGTGACTTATTTCCTGGCAGTTGCACTTAAACCTACAGATTTATCAGGGAAGGTGCTGAACTGACAACCTGGAGATATAAGTTACTCCCCTGTGGAACAGGTGGGCTGTAGGCCAAGTAAGCTGACTTTCCTATTCTGCTTCCTTTACCAGTTTGCTGGCAGGTGAGTTACAAGGGGTCATCTGACTGTTAAGCTCTTTGCTGATCAAATCTACCAGAAGAAGCCATGCATCAGCATCAGCAGCTACAAGGTCCAGAAACAAAGACCCAATCTCTTTCTCAGACTGTCATACGAACACATTGCTCCCCTACCAACTTATCCTTTCCCTGTTCACTTGTACTGCCAAGTTCACTGTAACACAGTAGCCCCTTTTTCACCCTAGGCCTTCAGAAAAAACTTGCTGCTTAGGAGCCTCATGTTTTATAAATACTCATGAGTGTACTTACACAATACACTAAGAAAAAAGGGAATTACTATTCAAGACAGTGAAATTGAGTGTGTTGTACAGGAAGACTTGAGTTCAAGCCAGAAAATTTGTTTAGATTTCTCATCTTTCTAATGACTATTTTAAACAAACTCCAACTCATTAGCCAGAGCTTGCAGAAAAATATTATTACTCAAAGTTCATAGTCCCATGGATTGTCATCCAGTAACAGACTCAAATCCCCCCATTAATGTGAGATTTTCACTTCCATTTTACAGTATATAGTCAGGCCTATGGCAAAACCACACAACATGAGAAACTGGTGGCAGTCAGAAGGTGTTTGATAACAGGTTTACCTGTTCTTGAAAAGCACTGGCTTGTTCTTCAAATCCAGCTGTTCTGAAATAATTCACAACATCAGTAACAGCCCAGTCAGCAGGATCTGGAGGTCTCCCGTTCTCTACTGAACTGCAAAGTGAAAATCCAGACAAGTAGTCACTAAATGCGTGCAGAACATCTGCTGCTTCTTTGTGCACACCACACGTACGGCCCCTCCCTCCTTGTTTCTTCAGGAAAAGTATTCATGGATGCACCTCCCTCTGCCCTGATACAGAACAGTCATTCCTGTTCTCTTCCATTTCAAAGACCTAATGCTGGGGACAACTCCCAAGTACCTCTCCCTTCAGAAAAGAAGAAAATATAGGAATCTTCACATCAGCCAAAGGTATTCAGTCAGGATCTTCCTACAAGTGTGCTGCCTTTGCTGTTGGAGAATGAAGACTGCCATAACTGAGGATCCAAATTCCTGTCCTTCAAGCCTTCAGCTTGTTTTCAGCTACCAAGTACCTAACGAATTGTGTGTCGATTATTCTTTTCCCAGATGAGACTGCGCTTCCTTGTAACATGGCTAGAAATTACTGGTAACCATCTTTACCTTATAAAAACAACATCAAATAATAAAACACAAACAAACAATATTCCCCCCCAAAAAAAAAAAAAAAAAAGAAAAACAGAACAAAAGAAAAAAGAGGCACCAAATGATTGCACTTATTCTTAATATAGAAAATTTCCCAAAACTGTTTTTGGACTCATCTTCAGACAAATCTATGGACTTCCTAAATAACTATGAATCTGAGAAAACATCTGTTAAATGCAATCAGAATTAATTCCTTCTGTGATTAACCTCAGGCAATTGTTTTCCACAGCAGCAAAACCAACCAAACGTTCATATTACTATCCTTATTCTGCCTTTCTTTTCCTCAAACTGGAATCACCATATCACAAAGATAACCTTTGTGTATCTAAAAATTCTTGGTAAAAGACACACAGTGAGCTTGATTGCCTTTCCTATTGGGATTTATGAGGATGAAGAGCAAGACATCAAAGAGTTTCTCTAACATGTTTCTCCAACTGAAAGTCCTGAAGTTCATGCCAAATATTGTTCACTGTTCTGCATGCTTAACCATAACAGCAATGAAGAAATATTGAAAATGTACAGATCAGGACAGAAGGCAGAATCCTGTCCATTTCAGGGCTGAAGCTGAGCAGCAGGACTTGGATTTCAACAGCACCAGCTGGAAAAGACACGCAGATTATACTCTGCTGACACCATTTTTGTTCTGTCCTCCAAATTTTTCTTTTCCAGCTATCACCACCTCTGCCTTGCCTGGACTTGTATGTCTTTCAGCAAAATAACCAGAGTGTCAACCATTTTTCAAACCAGCCAAACAGAATCACATAGAGTGCCTCCCATCACTGTTTCTACAACATCCTAATTTCCACAACTTTCTGAGCCCTGGGAAGGAGGACTTGTGAAAACAACAGTTTTTGCATCTCCCCCAACTCTTGAAATGTCCCTGTCAATATGGCAACAAAATCTGACTGCAGGGACTCATCCACAGTCTATGCTGCTCTTGGCCTTCTAGAAGCAGTTTCTTTCACTTATCACATATCTCAGAGCAATAAGCAAAGGACCAGAGTTTCTTACTTTTGCTCATCACATAATGACTTACTTCATGAATTGCTTCACTGATTGTGATTACATAGGAAGCAACACTCAGTAAAATTGAAAATGGGACTATCTAGTCTTATCAGAGCTGCATTTTTTTTTCTTTTTACTTTTTTTAAGCCAAAGAATGCCTTTCTCTTAAGATTTTTCAGTGGTGTGTACATTCTGAAGCCTCAGAAGTAAAATGTTGAAAGCACCACAGAAAATCTACACGTATTTATAAAAGCAGAATTTGAAGAATTATATTTAAATCTTTGCACTTTCCCTACGTTATAAACTATGACTTGCAATGACTCATCTTCTACTTAAAAATAAACAAACAAAACCTCAACAACTCAGTATTAGAAAAAACTCTAGGAGATACCGAATTTAATCCTTCCTAAACAGCAAATAAAAGGTTCAATCTGTAAAAATACACCCTGACCATAATTTGCTTACTTCTCCAAACATTTTAATTTCAGGTTAAATACGGTCCCAAACTCTCCTTCCCACAGTTTTTTTATCAGCCCAGGTGTGTTGGGGGTTTTTTGTAGCTTTTCTTTTATCACTAGGGAACTACAGCTTGGTCCAGCCTCATCCCAGGCTCAACTGCAATGACTTCAGGGGCTCTATCTCTGTCATTAACTAATTGCAGGAAATAATTGCAAGTTCCTTCCTCAAGGAATAGCATCATGCTGGACCTTGAGTGGAGCCAATTTCCACAGCTACAGCTGCAGAAGACTGGAAGGCATGTGGCAGACTGCTGGAGGCTGGCTGGATTTTAACCCATCTACCCACACAGATGCTCATTTAGCTTGTAGACTTTAATAGTCTCCTCCTTGCCCTGCTGTTGACATGGCTCTATTCTTTAAATAAGGAAAGTGAATATATAACATCCATAGCTTAGCCATACATTGCTTTATGCCTGACATCCTGGATGCTGTAAAAGGACTTAAGAGGACTGGCATTTTAGGCTTTGACAGGAGATACTAGATGCACTGACAGTGTATAAAGATTAGGCTTGTCTGCTTTTCACCAGGGTCCCTGTGCCTTTATTGCCACCATGTGGCAGAACCAGCAAGGTCTGAAAAGCCATAGCTGAGAACAAACAGATTTTATCCAAGCTCTTTATAACCACTTCAACAAAGTGTCAAATATTTCCTTTGTAGATAAGCACACAAACATACTATATACATTCATCTAGAAAACACAGCCCTGATCAGTTTAATTACATTTCCCATCCATTCTAAAAAGCCACCTTAGCAATCAGTATTTGAGCCTTTTTCACTGAAGCCTTGGGGAATATGATTAAATGTGAACTGTCCTTGCTTTGACTGCCACCCTTCTCCTCCCACCAGAGTACTCATTGTAGAAGCCAGACTGTCAACTGAAGGTGGCTTCTGAGGGACATACACAATAATCCATTCACAGTCACTGAATAGGAAAATGCTCTTTATGTTGGTGTGGTATAGCCAGCATCTCAAGTGAAGGGGCAGGATGCTGATTTTAATGGCTGCCATCAGATCTTTTGATGCTGTGTCATAATCAGGTGTTTTATCAGCATCCTGAAGTGACCATTATTATTATTTATATTACTCTAGTGCCTGGTAGCCTAAGCACTGTCTTGTTGTCTTGGATGGCTTATGTAAAAGGGATCTGAAGGAGAAGAATGAGCTGCAGCTGCGCAGAAGTGCTGCAGTTTGAGAGGACAGACAAAGAACTCACTCTAGTACCTTTCTTTGTGGTTTGTTGTTCGTTTTTTTTTTTCTTTTAGTATATATGCACATGTGTACATCTATCTCAGCATGGCTTCTATAACCATAAAGCAACAAGGCCAAACCATAAAGCAGCAAGGCCAGATTTTTCCATACAGAACTTCACTTCTCAGATCACGGCTTCATTCAAAATTGCTAGTCCTAATCTAAGAATTTCTGACCTTTAAGGATAAGTAAATGCCTACAAAACAGTCCCTATTCCTTAACCTGCAGTTTACCACATAAAAGGAAACAGTAGAGCAGTGCACACCATATCTGTCTTATTCCCACCATAGGTCTGAAGTAAAAACCCAGCAGTTTAGGGCTTCTCCAAGAAACAGCTTAAGATATCTGTTTCAGAAGAGAACCGACACTGAAGTGATATGCTGCTGCTACTTCTCAGCCACTAGACAGGTGGGCTGACAGCAGAGAAGGGCGTATGTCTTTCTGAATGAGACAGAAAGCAGATTTCCACACAGGACACTTCTCTCCATTAGGCACTGGTTCTGCAAAAGCCACAAGCAGACAGGTGAGCAGAGGCAGAATATTGGTTACAGTGCTACCACTTTCTCTAGTAGAGAAGAAAAAAAATTGTAGGAGGAAGGTGTACCCCTAACTCAAGTTACCAGCTTCTTCTACATCTCTCCACTGCTATACAGTCCTTCTGCACACCTCCTCTAAGCAACTCAGTGCCCTAGAGTCTTCTATTTCAAAGTTGAAATATAATAGAAATAGTTTACAACAGACAAGGTTTGAAATGAGCAAAGATGGAGACACCCACAATTGCCAACCACATTAGGTCAAAGGAAAACTACATTCAAAATCCGTGTCCTGTTTACAGAAAAGGAACATTTCGAATTCACTTACTTTTTGACATCCAGAGAGCCATTTTCCTTGTTTTCCATGTCAACAATTAGCATGGGGAAGATAGAGGCTTCTTTTACTTCAGCAACTGATTAATAGGGAGGGGAAAAAAGCAGTGTGTAATTATTGCTAGTATGACAAGAGCAACATAATGTAACAGAAACAAGCATTCTACAGGGACACAAGCATGTTTCCACCTGAGAGCAACAGCACTGTCAAAGACTGATTTTCTCAGAAGCTTGGCAAAGACAACAGGAGCTAATGAACTAGAAAAAAGTTGACCTGTGCTTCAAACACAAGAAATATTTACTGCCTGAAAATCAAGGAATTTGATCCTTTTGAAGTGTTAAAATATTGATCAAATTATATATTCATATACATGGAGACCGACCTACAATATACAGCTGTGTATCAAGAGAGCTTAACAGGCCTTCAGTCAGCCTGTGAGGGGTCCAAACAGACGCATGATCTTATCCTTAGAGAGGTTTGGAAATCATAGCCTTGCTTTACAAATGGGTACTCTGGGATACAGATGAGCACAGTCATTTTTGCCCATCTCACACATAAAAAGGGTAAGCAGAATTACTAATTGAGCACCAAACTCCTGAGGCTTACATCAGTATCTTATCCGTAAGACCATCCTTCCTGCACTAGCTTCTTTTATAGGTCTAGTATACCAAACCCCAAAAATGGAAGGAGCACATGAAGCACAGAGGAGAAAATCCCATTAATTTCCCTTCTCACTGCGTGCTGCAGCACTTTCACCACATAGCTTTTTCCACCACTCAACTAAACGCAGAAATGACCTGAGCCTTTCCTTTCTGTTCTCAAGTAAACCATTTCTGTTTTAGAGAGCGCCAGAGAACTGACCAAGGACTCAGGATGTTCTTGCTGTGTAGCATTAATGGATGCCAGTGAAATGGCACAGGCTCTGGGAAGTACATAACAGGGAAATCATGCTCCTCAGCTAAAACTTTGCAAAAATAGAGAACTGCAATTAACACTGTTGTTAAAAAAAAAAAAAAAAAAAAAAAAGGATCCTTTATTAAACATCACGTAAAGCACCAAGAAGACAGTAACAAACAAAATCGAAAAGCTGCTTCCTGCAGCGCTGACCGAACAACTCCACGTCTTGCCCCGCATCACTTCTTGGTTCACCTGAGGTGACTGCAGGCGACACCCGCACCGCACCACCTGCCGGACGCCCCCGCTCCGCGCCCGCGCAGCTCCCGGCGCCCCCCGAGCTCGGGGCGGGCACCGCCCGCGGAGCCCCCGGGGCTGCCCTTCCCCGCGGCCCCGCCGGGGCTGTGACACCGTTCGCCGTGTCACGGGCACCCCCGCGCCCGCTCGCCTGCACCGCACCGTCAGCTCTGCCTGGGGCGGGGGAAGCGAGGCAGAAAAACCTACCTACGAGCAACTAAACCAGTGCATGGTCCCCGGCTGCTGCGGAGCGCCGGAGCCCGCGGCCCCCGCCCCCCGGCGGCAGCGGGCGCTGCGCGGCGGCTCCGAGCGGCGGCGGGCGCG